GCCGTAGTCACTAGGTAAGGGAGAGGGCGATCCAGTTACCAGGTTCGAATTTCCTGATTGCCTCCTCCCTGAAAGGCAAATTCAAACAACATAAGTATTACAGCTACGGCTAATGTTGTAGCTCCTCGAGACTTCCCAGAAGACGAACGAAGAAATAACACCTAAGCAGAATAAGTTTTGTCAAAGTACAGTAGGGCTTAGTAGTACTGGCGTAGCCTAGAGGCCAAGCCGCCCGGTAGAGGCATAATGGCGGCGTCCTAAGTGGTCCGTTACCAAAATTGGGAGTTGCGTACACAAGTAACGCATTACAACATAGCCTAAAATGCATTCGTAACTTGGTATTTACACGGATATTTTCTTGCCTTTGGACTTTCTTTGCACAATTTTTCTCAAATAACGTCATCTATAAGTTGGTTCCTGCTTGGAAAATCTCTACCGAGGTTATGAGCTAGGCAGGCTGATAAAGAATAATGCTCTGTTACTAAATTGATGGAGCTGTCAAGTCCTCCCAAAACTCAAAACAAGCCATAGTACTGTGAGTAACATGTACCTCCAATATATGGAAGGGCTAGAAGGCCGCTATCATGGCTCGAAGGGCCCACCGCAGGAGGGATGTACAATCTACGTAGACTTAAGGTCCCATGCAGTTAAACAAAAGGGGGAGTCACTACACTGGAGACATATATTTACTTCCGTTTCATTTTTTTGAACCCAGAGCTCTGTAAAATTTTCGTTTGCGTATTATAAGGCAGATTCCACACAAGTGGAAAGACTTTTTTTAGGTTTTTCTACCGTACTAGTAGTCGGTGCAACAGCGACCGGGTTGGACGCTTTTGCAGTTACAAACAATGCATTACCAACTTTATTGCAAAAGATGAGTACTCTGCAATCACTAGCTGTAATGGCTAGGTGAGTTTTGAAAAAATAGAGCTATTTTGCATGAGTTATAGGGCGATCAACTGCAAATTATATCCACTAATGAATTCCGTCACCTTACTGTGGGGAAATCTAACTTTCGACCTCTATTTATCTAAGTCTTTCCATCAGAAATTCCAAGCATGCAGGCACATAAGGTTCAAATCAATCTATTTGAAGACTTTTGTCTATGATATGTTTAACAAATGCGCGTGTTTGATGAAACCTTTTATTCTGGAGAAGCAGTGTTGTCCCCTACAAAATTGCTATGCAATTTGTGGAGGTGACAATGCCTAAGGCATCTGGTCTTTTGCTTTTCGAAGCGCCCGGCACAAATATATAAATCTTTTTCTGCACAATTTTAGTGCATTAGAAATGGCCGCACACTACAAGCAGATAACTGCTGAGACTCCCTAATCCGTAATTTCTCCTATTCTAATAATTTTACTATCTATTGTGCATAGAGCTCAATCAGATTTCAAAATCAGTTTGATCAGCGGTACGGACTGTTGCAGATAATATGCATTACGGTGACTTCGGCCAAATCGGTTCATGTGACACAAATCTCAGCAAAAATTTATGGCAACGTTCGTTAACTAAAAACGGTCTCGGTTAAGTGCGACTTCCAGTTTGTACCATGGTGCAGAATGATTATGGAAACCTTCATAGAATAAGCCCAATTAAAACTGCTTTTTATTTAAATATGCAAAGAAGTTTTTACGACGTAACGCTCTAAAAAGTGGTTCCCGCATAAACAATACTTTAATCGTTTATTTGGTTCCGCCATTGTACCTTCGTCGGGTGGGCTAACCTTTGAAACATGCTAGTAGTCCCGAGCTCTAGTGTATGTTGAACACATGTATGTTCATATTCTGGCAGAGTATTGCATCTACTTTCGTCCTCAGGGAAGCCTTGGGGCGCTGCTAGTAAACCGCATTCCTGAAGCTTTCCATTTCTGCGAAATGTGCTGTATTTCCATAGAATCTATGGCTGAAATTTTTCCTAAGTGTTATTAGGTCGATTTATCATTCACTGTTGTGGGAAATCGCATATCAGATTAATATACCTAGAGGGACGTTTAAACATGCAAAATTCAAGTAGACGGTAGGTCATAAAATATTCTGCTGCTTGTTGTGAGCAGTTGGTGGTCTAAAGGGATCTGCAGTAAAATTGATGCTTAAAGAAGTGACTGTCAAATTTTGAGGCTTACGATTTGCACAAAAATATAGTAAACTAAACAGATAAAAATAAGCACTGTCGCCTAGGTGTCTTCAGGTAACACTCCAGAAGGGAGCACACTTTGTGCATTGCGTCAGTGCAGGTAAAAATTAAACTACATTAGCCTGGTTAATTTACAGCCATTAAGTTCGTTGGAAGCAATGGAATGAATAATTGACACAAATTAGATCTCAACAACTCTTTTCCCAGTAAGAAGTGTGCTTCTGGAGTAGGACAAAAGTCAAGTGCATATAACCATCCATTATGAAAAAAAATCAGCACTGGACGGGCTTGGCATTCGCGGTGAGTAATTCTGTAAAGCATCAAACGTTCCGTAAAACATTCATAAGCGTCTAAAATTCATTTTAGAGGAAGATTAGTCAAAACCATAGACCTATGATGCTTAGGTTATACACTTGGATGTAAAAGGTATTAAGTAATAAAGAAGATACTCCTCAAAATTGAAAAATAGCAATTTGGGGAAGTAGGCGCTTGTATGCATGGGATTATTTTTCCCACATAGGTCCGGTCTGCTTGCAAATGAACGTTTGTGTAGTCAGGGCAGAAATATATTCTGCAGCACTTTGGACCATTTTGTGATTTAAAGGTGATCACATTGTAAGCTCCTGTAATTTAAGAACGTGTTCACTGTTTCGTAAACAATCGCGTAGAGCAGCAAAACCAATGGCAGGCCATTTGTCGACCCCATTCTCTCAAAGTCGAGTACATCTCCTTTGGACTTTTACCTATTTTCTCTCAGTATTAAGTGCAAGTAAATTATTTCCCAAGTGTTAATTTTGCCAGCCCTTTAAAAAGCAATATGAAAATCGTCCCATTTAATCTGCAGATGGTCTCAAACTTAATCCATCTAATGAAATCTCCAAAGTGCCATGGAGAATTTTTTGACAGCTAAACTCATGAGCATGAATAATAGTTATCCCTAGGAACAAAGACAGACTAAATGGAGATGAGACATTCATGACCCTAGAGAAAGGTTTTACGCAGTCCTAGGTCTTATAATGCCAGAAAATATGTCTCATATTGTGTATATAAGTTGAACTTGTATAGGAAAGTAAGTAGCGGTTACTGGGAGTGATTACAATATATCATTGCAAAAAACGACCATAGATCCAACGCCAACACTTCAGGTGGACAGGCTAATTGGAATATGCAATAGGCGTTGAAAGAATTGCCTGCGTGAAAGTTGCAAGCTGCTTAATCGACCAACACAACTAACGCGAATGGACATTTTGTTGAGATGTGATTATTTAAGAGGAGAATACCGCAACATTGCTTCATCTGAACTGCTTCGGATGTTGGCAGATTCGGTGAAGATAAGCCATCCAACTTAGCACAATTCCTTTCGTCTCCAGTTTAAATTCTCTTTAAAAATAAAGACTTTTAATGGTCATTTGCACCTTAGTAGGACTTCTGAACATTTGAGCCATTTTTGAATGCAGTTGTAGGACGCACTTACGTGAATAATGGCACAGAAAGACTGGTGAGTTGAGGCAAGGACAATATCATCATGGTCTCAGCTACCCCTTGCGGAGAATTTAGCACCGTAGACTGAAGTGCTAGGGGCTACTGTGCGTAACTGAAGAAGGGATTACAATGAAATCGACATCCGGATTTGTTTAATTGGATCAAATAACCCAGATTAGCCGTAGTTACACAGCTTGGAAAAGAGCAGATCATTGATACAACCTCAAGTAGAGCAACTCCCATCATCGTAATCACTTAAAATGCAAAAATGTCCGCTTCTACAGGGTTACCTGACAAAATGGGGAGATCATGATTTGTCAAACATCCCTTCTGGACTATTGGAGGCAAGCCTGTTGAGAGATGGTTGACGTCAATTAACTCCTACTTTGGGAATGCCTACTAATCAGAACTTTTTTACCACTAACGAAACAATGTGAATAATATACTTTTCTTTGAAATGCATAAGAATTTGTGACTACGGCATGCGCATTTGTTTTCGTAAACTTCGTATATGCTTTTCCATAGCATTGATGGATAAGTACAAATCCTACTCACTACTTTATTAAAATTAGGAAGCAAACAAAATAAAACAGCTCAAACGAAATAAGTCTTTTTGATAATGCCTTCCTAAATTACGGATTTCTTGCCGATTTAAGGGAAGATTATTCATATTGGAGTGTGAGAATGTTTACTGCCTTAGTTTAACTATGTTGCAATCATGACCGAAGCACTGCTAAACCCTCGCAACTGCTATAGAATTTATTGAGGTTACATATCAATCAGTCTGCAATGTTATCAAAGGAACTTGAAGGCAAGTCAACAGGATTTCTTTTAGTCGGTTTCGCCACATTGGGATAGGTGGTAAATTCAATTTCTTCAAAATTATTAACTCCATAACCACTGATTTTTATCCATGTTCG